CCAAGGGGGTTTCTGAGCACTCTTACCCCCCTTGCTATCTAGCCTCCTTTTGAAGAATCCTGGATCTTGGCTTCTCCAACTCAACAGCACCAATAGATATCTGTGCCAAAAAGGGACTCTGTGGGCTCCTATATACGTGCAGGGAGGCTGCTTTGATGTGCTATAATTACAGCACATCGGAGCAGACTCATTTAATGGAGTCTGCTGGAGCGTGATAATTACTGCACTCCAGCAGACTCTGGCATCTTGTGTATCAGCCCCGTGCTGAAAAATTGGGTAGGAAGTGGGGTGGGGGAGAGTGCTTTAAACTAGAGCTCGTTCAATGAGCTTTAGTTCAAAGCGACCCTACCACCATTTTTCAGCACAGGGACACAGGCTATTGTCATCTTGCAGACGGTCTAGGACCCACAGCTTTGTTGATGTTACATGCCTCAGACTGACAACATGACCTCTCAATGTTGTGTGCTTGCTTTCATCCACTTCAGTATCATATAACAATAGTCGTGGTTCTGAGCATTCACTCCTCTACGCTCCCAGAGTTTCTTGCTATCCTCCTCAATGTGAAATAGCATTTGCAGGCATGTAGGTCATTCGGCTACATCTACCCTGACAAATCCTACCAGCCAGAATTTCCTGCAGCCTTCTTCTAACCATTTGTCCTGACAGTGTGAGGACGACACAAATTATGTTGCCTACAGACATAGGTGGTCTTGTGTCTTGGTCCTACAATTGGAATCTTCTCCCTGAATGAAGTAGTGGGTTGCCCCATTTGGCAGGCCAGTGGGGGGAGCTCCTGCATTGAGCCTCCCACCTCACTACGCCCATCCACCTTCCAGACTCCACATGTCTCTCCAGGGGCACCTAAGCCTGAGCAGACCTGCTTTCGAGCCCCATTGCAGAGTCCAGGGGTAACATGAGAAGCCACCACCCTGAGAAGGGACTGTCTAGGTCCTGTGTCCTCAGGGAAACCAGACCTAATAGTCCTATGGGTACTTGACCCAATACAAGAACTTGGGGCACCTCCCCAAGTCGGGGGCCAAAAAAGAAGATAGTCTCCCTTAGTCCACAGACCCAAGGGGCCTCCTATGCATAATTAAACCCACCCCTCAATAAGTCTCCTACACCAGTCACAAAGGAGAACTTTATTGCTCCTGACAGGGTGAGGTAGAATAGGGTAAGAGGTAGAGCGCTATCAAGGGATTACCACTGAACAAAATCTGGCTGAGGTAGCCGTTTGATACACAAACACATCGCTGTGAGCTGACTAGCTCTCTAGAAACACTTACAAGTATTATTCAGAAGATGGTAGAGATCTGGCTCGGAGATTTCCAGAGAGAGAGCGTTTCAGATGGATCAGACTATCTCCCTGTGTCCTGATGTTTGGGCCATGCTGGAAAAATGGCTTCTCCTCTTCTTCTTCTTGGACCAGGCCCTTTATATAGCCTTTCTGACCTCAGCTGCCCAGTCCAATAGAAGCCAGCAGTGTTAGCAACTAGCCAACCAATTTAAAAAGCATCACTGGTTAACTGGGCAGATGAGCAGGAGCTTTTCCCTCCCCCCACTCAGGTGACCAGAGGGACAACACCTTAGGCACCAGGCTTTTGTCATGTAGACAGGGAGGAAAATCCCCCCCCCTCCCTTAGGCATTCGACCCCAGGGTCCCAAGCTAACAGGGACAGATTCCTGGAGAGAGACACAGACAGTGGCATTTCTGCCACATCCCTTACACTGGACAATTAGACAATTTCATAGGATTCCAAGGCTTTTTAAAATGATACTTGCTCTTCAGGATCCCATCGATGCAGATATCCTCATCTCCAACTCTAGAGGGAAAGTGGCATTGTCCTTAAATAAGACACAATAGATACCACCTCCTAGAAGGTGGACAAGCAATATCGGGTTCCTGCTAGGAAGAGAAAATATGGACCCATTATGCCACTGTCTCTGGTGGATTTTGCAGCAAATGGGAAGTCCACTAAAAGAGACCCACAGCAATGCACGAGGAGCCAAAAGTTTGGCCCAAATGTGCTCAAGCTTAAGAAGCAACAATTTTTCATTGTTCGTTTCTTTTTTTTGTGATATCTTTTATTCACCAATGGCATACTTGGGAAGAAACTTGACAAGCTTTCAGGCACAAAGAATCCTTCATTAGGCAACTGAAGAAGGATGCTTTGTGCCTGAAAGCTTGTTGGACTTTTCCTCCCAACTATACAGTTGGGCCAATAACATATATGACCAGCCGCTTCCCTTTGCCTCCCCCTGCTGCAAAAAAAAAAATCTTTTTCATGTTGTGCATTTCCTGGACCATCATGGCTACAACCTTCCAACCCTATTTCCAGCTTGGGTTCATGAAAGGCATTGCTTTTTGGAAAGAAGCATGGGGGGCAGTGGTAGAAAAGCTTCTTAGATCTGGATTTAAAAGTTCATTAATAAATACAGTTTCTTAATAATAATAAATATTCATTTTTTTAGAGTATGCCAGTGAATATGCCAGCATATCTAAACTTTTTATAATGTCTAGTAATGTAACACATGATTCATGTGTTTTGCTTTTATCCAATTGTCAGTTTCATTGCATTTGGTGTGTATAGGGAAATGGATAAAATATTGTGGATCATTTTTTTCCATTTAAGTTATTTATTATTTTATATTCAGGTCCTAGATTTGTTGAAGTACCTAGTGATAGATAACAAGGATAATGAAAACCTGTACCAAACAATCAAGCATCTAGATCCTTTTCCTGAGCATCCAGCTTTTAAAGATTTGCGCACTACTCAACAAAAGATCAAATATAGTAAAGGACCATATTCACTTTTGGAGGTAATGAGTTACAATTCTACATGGCATAAACTAAGTGCTTGCAAGAGAGAACTTGCAAGCACATGAAATAAATTGGTGACCAGTGGACAGAAGTCCATTTGTAGGATATGGCTGATCCCCAAACTAATGATGCTCCAGTTGTAGCCCTGTGTGCCCCAGAATGAAAATGTGCTATGTTAGATGTAACAGAGAGAGGTCCTCTGAAATTAAACAGATATTGGCTGTGCTTATCTCTAGTTTCAGGATGTGATCCATTCGTGTGCATCTTCACTATAAGATGTGCACATCTTTTGGCATTCATGTTGTGAAATATTTGAGTACCACTTCACTTTAAAATCTGGTGTATTGCAGAGTAAACTTATTGCAAAAATATTGTTTTTCAGGAAATTAACCATTTCCTGTCAGTAAGTGTCTGTGACTCACTGCCACTGACAAGACTGGAAGGATTACATGACTTACGCAAACAGCTGGAACAACATAAAGATCAGATGAGGGACCTTATAAAAGATTTCCAAGGTATAGACTTCTGAAAGCATGTTTTGGTTCTTGTTCTGCATACCATTTGTTTCCTCAGTTCAGTAAAACAGTTTGCTGTCATTTCATACACACAGCAGATTGCTTTGTATTGCAAATCGTGATCAACTGTGAATTTTTTCTGGCTGGGTATAATATAAGCAATGCACAGTAAGTATTGCCATGCAGATGATATATAGCAACATCTTTTGGAGGGGTATGTGTGTATGAGAGAAAATAATAGGTTGTCTTCACTGTTGGATGTATTTACAGCCTTATCTCTATTTTAATGATGTTTCTTATATGTGTGTTTCTTTAATGCTTTATATACTTACTTTAAAAGAACACAATTAATATTTCAAAGTGAATCATGCAGAAGTTAAAAATGCCAGAAGGTAAGGCATCCTGAATCTCACCAACTATTTCTCTTTGTTAAGACGGTCTAAACCTCCCTTCTCCCACAGCTCCCAGTCTTATGTCACAACTAGACCCAGTTACTCTTTCTTCCTCATTCCTTGCTCAGTTTCCCCAAACTTCCTGTCCAGTCTAACACCTTTTCCTTCCTCCATGTGCACCTTTTGTGTCCTTTTGGATGCACCTTCCTCCTCCTCATTGAGAGATTGGCTTCCTGCTCTCAATTCCAATGCCTTGCCCCAATCATGGCCTGCAACTGCAATTACAGGGGAAGGGTGGCTTTGCCCCTGTAATAATTAGAGCATTTTCAGTTACTAGAAGTGCATGTATCATCCGGTTGTATGTTGAAGTTGTTAAGGGAACAGTGCATATGCACTCTGGTCAGCAGCAAGAGCTGTGTGTGAGGGGCTTGTGCATGTCTAGAGAAGATGAGATATTCAAAAATTTTTATCTACTAAATCCAGTAAGCATCTACTAAGTATGAACTGCAGAATTCAAAGGTTGTAACAGGACATAGATGGCTAGGTCCAAGAAACTTCAAATAGTAACACAAAATATTCCACTAGCCTAAGATGTAGGCCGTGAATTTTTAGACTGAAAGAAACTTCTTTATAACTTGACCAGATCTGGCTTTTCGCAAGGAAGATAAAAGACATGTCTCTGACATTAAATTTACCATGGGGAGCTGGTCTTAAAGCACCTGCTTCAAAGCAAGCAGCAGTAGAAATACTGAAAGAAAATACTGCAAAATGTTCATATGGGCAAAAACTATATGTATTTTTCACAGGTGTCGCTCTTAGAATCAGGTGAACTGTTTTGGCTGAAATATTCCTCCCTACCTAGTCCTTCCCCCTAAAATAGCTACCAGGAATATAAAATTTTAGCCCAAGCAGTTTACAGTGTGGCAAAGTTACAGGCAACTGAAAAAGGTTGAATAAAGAAAACTGTTAAATGACCTTGATAAAAGGCAGTGTTACTTGCTTCAGTTGCAATGGGTTGATACATTTTATTGTAGGTATTGCAAAATATTAATATTTCTTAAGGAATTGATTGTGTGTTTTTAGGTTTTGTAATCTCAGTATACAAGACCTGTCAACTTGTGATCTGGTTAGTACAGATATCACATTTTGTAATCTTTGAGCCCAAGCCATTTTTGAGATAAGAGTGTATAAGAAAAATATTAGAACAAGTTTTAAAATTTTGTAAAATAAGGATGGCTTGTCTATTTAACCTCAGGCATTAGAAGAAAAATCTTTAAGATGGGGGCTATGAAATTATAGGCTGAAGGGATCATTTTTGAGACTTACAGGGGTTTAGGTTTAGAATGAACCAATTTACCAGCTTAATTGTTGTCACTGGGGCAACCGTTTATTATTTATTTGTGTTACATGAAAGCTTAAGCTGGATTCTCCATTGTACTAAGCAATGTGTCATTCTGTAGTAGTTTGTACCACATATCCTGGCTATAGCATTTTAAAATGCTAGCTATAGTTTTTCAAAGATTAATTGATATGGCATGTGATTGAAATATGAATCAACTTTTTTGTTTTCCTAAAAATATAGATTGAACATTTTGGCAGTGTATGTTCATAAACAATTTTTATAAATTAATTGTGATTTTTTGGAACTTTAAGAGCATGCTTGCCTTCATCTCTTTCTAAGACCTCTTTAGCACATGTTAATAACCTACTTCTGTCTTCACAGTGCTGTTGTTTCCTTGCTTTACCTGTGGCAAGTTAAAGGTGTTTTTGATGTTTTGGGCATTATGCCTGAAGTTGTGTGCGACGGTCATTCCTGAGGTTTATAAGCCCAGGATAAGCTAGTACTTTACCTAGGATGACTTAGATACTGCCTCATCAGAGGGGTTGGACTGAATGATACCCTCAGATCCCTTCCAGCCGTACTTATTTATGATTTGAGTTTTTCTAAAGAAAGAAGCAATTGAAAGGTGTTTTCTGCCTTAAAAGTCAACATTTTCACGAATAATATATATTTTAAAATGCCTCTCTCTGCTTAATATTATATTTCCTCCTTTACATCCTTAGGAGCTTTAAGGACAATGGCTTTTTAAGTGGTTACATGACGAATAGAAGGAACTGGAAAAATTATGGAAATGAACAAGTGCTTGAATTGTTGTTAGTTTTCAATGTGTAAGTGTATGTATCTGTCTAGATCACTGGTTTCCAAACTTTTTTATACCATGGCCCAGCAGGAGCAGGACAGGGCATGCGGAGCAGGCTCTCTCTCTCCCAGGGCTGCCCCACTGCACAGCTTTAACACCAGAAACTCAGCTTTAACCCTGGAAGCCACTCACCTAAGCAAGCAGATGCAGTTCTGAGTGGGAACCTCTGGTCTAGA